CTACGTACGTTTGTTTTCATCCTGATTTCTTCATTTCTTGTCACATACTTGCTAGCAGTGTATGCAAAAAGCATGCACCAAGACACTCTTAGCCTAGTTTGCAGCAGCTGGTGTGAATTCCTATTTGTGGAACGGTTGTTAAAGCAACTGCTAAAACAAAATCTTCAGGATGCAAATTCAATGAGCTGAGTGGCAACCAGCTTATTGCTACTGAATTCATGTAGACAGGTGAACTCGAATGCGTGTCTGATCAGGTTCGTAAAAATGAACACTTGGAGTTAGCATTTTAAAAGTAATGAAGCGCACGAGAGCGATATTGAGGATTTGTTGCACTGTTTCGCTACATTTGCCATCTGTCTGTGCTTCCAGGTGCGGTACGTGGTTTCGCAGAACGTAGATGGTCTGCACTTGCGTAGCGGACTGCCACGTGATAAACTCTCCGAACTACATGGCAATCTCTTCATTGAAGTGAGTTATTTTCCGTTAAGACAAGCGTCATCGATGGTGTCACTCGACTTGTGTGCATGACTATTATTTTGGTGTTGAGCGCACAAAGCTGTGATCGCTTAGTGCATCCACAATAATGAAATGTGCATATCTGTAGAGTTAAAGCTGTCTTGCATGCAGCACCAGACTGCTTGACTTCAACATGAATGCTGTGCAATCTGGTGTGATTTGCACTGTGATTTGATTGTGGTCATTGTTGTAGCAATGCATGGCATGCGATCGGGTGGTTTACAGATCCTTCGATGTTGGCGAGACGACAGGAAAGAGCCGACACCTAACTGGTCGCGTTTGCCCTTTCTGTGTTCCCGCGTCGTCTGTCGACTCACCATCGAATTCCTTAGTGCAGAAACTCGCCACCGGCGCGAATTCGCTCGCAACGAGGAGATCCAAATCGTCCAGAGCGAGTTTAGACCGCGTGCTCGCCTTCAAACGCGCTGCCACCAGCCTCAGGCGAATTCATGGTGCGTTGTTGGGTTTATTGTGTGCAGCGTGCTTCGTGCAACAGCTAATCTGCCATGCAGTTGGCATCTGTGTAAACTGCGAACACAGACTTGGAATTTAAGCCTACGGAGTGATTTAGTTAATAAGATGCGCACGGGGATTGATGCCAACTTTGCTTTATTTAATTATCCAAAGTGGTCATCTGCAATCCACAAGCGTGGCGATCACACCGCATACCAGCCACCTGCACATCGAATCTGTCGTAGTGCCAATTGTCTATTTTGATAGTTTGTGTACTTTGACAAGCCCGTTGTTGCCACTTAGGAGTGATCAAAATGCTGGATGTTGATCAGTGCCATGCATCAGTCAGATGGGTTTCATTGGTGCTGCCTCTTTACCATTAGATAATCGAAGGTGGCAGTCCGAATTCGCACATTGAATTTACCTCATTGGTGTTAGTGACCTTGGTGTGTACACTGAATCTTGTCTAAGCCGATTGCATTTGCCTTTCCATTCGTGGATGTGTGTGTGAATGTGCGTGCGTGCTTTCTTTGTTCAGCCAAACGCAATCGGCACAACTGCAGTCTTCCGCTTATGCGAGACGTGATTGTACACTACTTTGAGCGTCAACCGGTGGCGGGTCAGGCCGAAATTTACCGCGTGGACAGGGCTGTCGCAGCACTCTACGGTTCTGGCATCGGTGAGAGAATAAAAGACGAGACCGCTGGTGGCCCCTCCAAACGCTCCCGACTAACCACCCCATCCGATTTCCACTCGTGGCCCTTGAGACTTCAACGGGCTCTGACGAATGTTCCTCTTCCCA